AAACCCATGTTCTACCACGTTCACCCTCATCTACCCTAGTTAACCCATGTTCTACTACGTTTACCCCCATATACCATAGGTAACCCATGTTGTACCACGTTCACCCTCATCTACCCTAGTTAACCCATGTTCTACCACGTTTACCCCCATCTACCCTTGTTTAGCCATGTTCTACCACGTTCACCCTCATCTACCCTAGTTAACCCATGTTCTACCACGTTTACCCCAGTCTACCCTAGGTAACCCATATTCTACGACGTTTACCCCTATCTACCCTAGGTAACCCATGTTCTACAACGTTTAGCCAAGAGAGAAAAGCCCCCCGGTATCACGACTAAGTAAAGTCAATAAAGTAAAGTAATGCAAGTTTTAATTGTTTAAGTTACGGTTTCTAAGTGAAGTCAATGGAAGAAGTCTTGGAGTGATATCTGTTAGGAAAAATCCAATCACCTAAAAGTATGACCTAACACAGCAAAACTATTTAACTTCGGGTCACTATTATAAGCCGGCCAGATCTTTTCTTCTCTTTTACAGGGGAGATTTCGCCACTAATCAGAACTTTAAACCAGATCGATCATTTTTCAGGCGGTACTGTATGTTCTGGTAAATTTTTTTAATTCTTCTAAAAAAAACCCATGTATTTACAGGCTTATTGAACAACAAATAGACGGCTTACTAGTACAATATTTTGCAAAACGAAACGAAACGAAACCAGGCGAGATGTAACGAAATTAAAAGAATGATGCAGATATATTTTCTAATAAGTTAAAGGTGACTTTCACAAGGATTTGGAGTAGTCTTCAATCAATGAGAAGGATTTTTATTCATTTTGCAAAGCAGTAAGATAAGAAGAGTTACTATTTTTTGAAATCAACTATTTTCACCCTGCGGAGAAAACGTGACGCCTTTCATGTCACAAAAATACATTTAACCATTTCAAATCATTATTTGACTGAGGACTTTTGCCTTGGTTTTATTTCTTAAATCGTATTTAAGTAAATGCGAAATGTACCATTTTCACCCTTCAATGACAATATCTTTCTATTGAGGTCACACAAATACGTTCAAAAGTCTCTATGCGAGGGCAAATATGCTATTTTAAAGAGCATCAAAATTCCATGGGGCAACTGTCAGACCGATAAACACTCTATTGTCTTTATTGTTCACCACTATATTTTCTTCCTCGCGCTAGTTGAAAAACAGCCATAACAAAAAAGAATACCTTTTGTTTCTTTTCAGTATCACTCATAATTATCGCGTCTGAAAAAGATTAAGAGATGTGTAACAGTCAAAAGTAAACATCATCTAGAGATCGTGGAGCCAACGACAGATCTTCGCCAGTTTAATGGAGAACACCTTGCCTTGTGACCGTGTGAACATTATTATTGTTGCTTCTATATTCATGTTTAATATGGCTAATTTTAATTGAACAATCCATCAAATAATAAGGGGAGAAGGAGATCAAGTTCATCAACATTCCTGAGAGTACTTTGCTCAGCATCTGTTGATCGATACATCACCTGAAGGAAAAGGTGACATAGCTAATAAGTGGCATGAAAAAACTGCATCATTGTGAGGTTTATCGCATTACTTCAATCTCTCATTACTCAATAGCTAGATTTTTTGCTAGCTTTTTTCTGAAGTTTCAATGTGAGGAAGAACTTATAAAATGTTGTCATATTTAGACAATGCAGGCGAGCATGCTTTACAACCTTTACCATGGGTTTTTTAAGTGAGCTATTCATAACCCAAAGAATGTATGATTCTAGGGCACCCCGCACTGAATACGAATAATGGAAAAAGCTTGCATAAAATAGGTTCAAAACTTCATCCTGTGATTAAAAAGATATCTAACAAGTAACTTAACTGAAGCCAGGAATACACGTGATGCTGAAAATTGTAACTTGCCTTGAATATCACTTGATGAACTTGTCTCGCCTGTATCTTTTCCAGTTTGGGACTCAACTAGAAAAAGAAGCTTCTATAAGTATTCTTTCTTTCTTCATTTTACTTTTCAAACCCGCATTTTTTTGTCAGTTGTGTAACTTGCCTTGAAAATCACTAGTTGAGCTTGTCTCGCCTTTATCTGTACCTGTTAAGGAACCATTTAGAAAAAGGAGCGTCAACGAGTTATCTTTCTTCCTCTAGCGAATTTTTAATCCCAGGGTTATATTTCATCTGCTCGTTTAGTCAAAAGCTTCCTTTTGGATAGTTTTTTAAACCAAATAAAACACTGCCCAGAAGACAATAAAAAACTGAACTTTTTGTGTAATTTTTTTTAACAGACTTTCACTGATAACAAGTCTGATTTAGTTGTTTTTATGGTAAAGTACTTGTACTTAGGTCATTAAATTCAATTCACATGCACGTGCTAGATGCGGTACTTGTAGTCAGTGATGAAAAAGCTGCAAACAAGAAAAGAAAGCAATGATTTGGCAAACCATGAATATCACAGAAGCCTAATGTACTTATGTACTTGTTGTGGTGTGTAGTCTTTAATAGTTCGGTCAAAGCAGTTTAATGAACAGATATTAAAAACATCAAAAAGGCTTTCAAGGTAACAATATTCTCTTAAACCAGCAATAGCCGTCTCAAGAAAAAAAGGTGACAACCGATATAAACTGGCAGAAATTAAAAGGAACAACAGTTGCCGACAAGGGCATTTCACTTTCAGTTCTTCAGGGTATGGTTCCTTTGATTTGAAACATACCTGCATCGTCTGTCACCCTTTAGATGAAAGCAGAAAAGGTATATCTATATATTTTCAAATTGCAACATTTTTGAAACGTGTGTATGTATTTTTAATTCACAAGAATGTATGACATTTTTTAATAAAGGCTCATTGTTTCGAAAGAAACTGTTTGAGGCTGCGTCGGTGGGAGTAACGAAATAATTTGGATATATCAACAAAGTTGAAATGGTAAATTGGCCACCGTAACGATTACAAAAGCTGATGTTTCGAGCGTTAGCCCTTCGTCGGAGCGAATAGAGGAATTGTGGGTTGTGTGGGCTTTTAAAGGCAGAAAATGGAGCTACGTTATTGGTGGGAACATGGCAACGAGAAAAACACGAATAAATTAGTGGAATGAAAAGCGTTCGTTGGTAGCGTTCCTTCATTCCACCAATTTATTCGTGTTTTTCTTACAATTATGACATTTTTGGACTCCAGATACCCCTACTTATGCACACCTATATGTACATTTCATTATATCAGTTGGTTTAGGCGAGCTCATATTAAAATTCCTTCAAACGAGCAATATCTTTTAAATTGTGCATCTTTACCTTTATCAAGTTCACCCAAAATTTCACCGGCAAGGTAACGCCTACTTATGTGGGCAGATGTCGAGCTTGTTGTTCTGCTCCAAAACTTATTCGACTTCCCCACGCAACCAACAACTTTGGAGGTGATGAAATGCCTTATAGTGGCATCGGTTATCACTGGGTCGATACCATTTACCCTCATGTGCCTAGCTAAGGAAGGCACATTAAAGGCTACAGCTTCCCCACAGCCACATCGAGAGGGCTTTATTCTATTAATGACAAAGGAAGTCACCTGACAAGCAAGCCAAATGATAATTATGGATGTTCAAATTTTATAATATCCAAAAAGTAATAATAAGAAGAATAAGCAATACTTACGCTTTGAACATTGGAAACAGTAATTGATCCGAAGAAGTTCTTCAACACTTTGTCGATGTCATTGCAAACTTGCTTTGGCAACTGAACAGATGTGGCAGTGACATAGGATGCACATAACTTGGCAGCACAGCTTTTTCAATTTTTTCCTCTACCGGGATGAACAGCTCTGGCAAGCCTATCTTCTCAAGAATCTGCATTAAATTAAATAGACAACATATCTTACGTGAGACATGATTAAATAAAAGTCACGATTTAAACAGGATTAATGCAAGATTTTGTTTTGACCTGTAATTTTCGGTTATTTCTATTTACTAAGCTTAAGGCTTTAACTTCCTATTCATGCACTTATTAACTTCGACCTGTTTTAAATGGATTAACCTAATCAGTAATAATGAGGAACTGAAGTGTCGGCATATAGAACCGATGTATCCCATCCTAGTGCGGCTATGGGGCACACCCTAATTTGAATTCAAACTTTCATACTGTTACCCTGACTCGAACGATATCTATAGATTAGTTATCATCCGATAACAGTAGTTTTTGTGTGATTGTCTTTTAAGAGGCTTGGTTTAGTTTGGGATCCTCACCCAAATTTCAAATATTGTAATTACCTCTCATCCAAAATATAACGAAAGGCTATGATCGAGATGTACGAGATTACTTGGCATGGCATTTTGAAAAACAATAGCAAAAGATATAATTACACACATAAGAAAAATTGAAGAAATGAATTTGGAATGAACTAAATCAAAGATTGCTGCACGTCAAAGAGGCCCTGAGGCCCTACTTATAAACTGCCTTGGTGGTCTTTTCCAGAAGAAACAGACTGCATTCCCTGCCAGGATTTATCGAGGATGTTATTGAGATCAGTTTACATCATATAATTTCTTTACTTTGATTTTGGATAACCCCTTCCCATCTGCCACCATGATACTAATAGTGATCATGACGATGATAAGGAGGAAGGCACTCCAAACGCATGGCACTTAATTGCCAAATTTTTCATTGCTTCTTTCAAAGGGACAAGAACAAAAAGGTGTGTTACGAACCAAAGTACCATTTCTAATAAACAATTAGACTCCATGTTGCCGTTCGTCTGTTGGCGTCAAAATGCAATGAGAACACAAAAGTGACACACGAAGAGCAGCCGAAAAACAGAATAGATAATCTGAAATAAACAGATACAAAATCAATTTTGGGATTATCATATTTCCTCATATACTTCTTCATTTCGTTTCCCGCCACTTTCCTTCTGAAGCACCACATTGTAATATCCCTGTTTCTCAGGTTTTTCCTGTAACGACTGATACTCAGTAGGAACTTCAGACTCCTGAGTCGAAGGCCAGGGTTTGAGTTCCATATATGTGTTTGGATCTGAAGCATGTTCGTCACTTGACTGTTGATCATGTGAAGACTTGACGCCATCAAAGTCAACTCTTTGTTTCCTTTGTATCCTTTTATAATGAACAGCTCGTCTGTACTGCCATATCAACCCACAAATTATAATGAGCAACACGACCACAATACAAGACAGTGCGATCACACTAGCAAAGAAGATGCTTTGTGTATCTGGTAAAAGAAAACAAACGGCTTTAGAACAAGCTATCAAACACCGAAAAGTACTTGGTTACTTTGTTTCAATGCAATAATGTTGTTTTTTTAAACAGTTTCACCCTAAGAAATACGACGTTTCTTTTAACTTCGAGGTATGAAAACAGTTCTAAACTTTCTGTTGTCTCGTCTCGAGGTCGGATTCCATTGAAGGCAAGAATTTTCCAATTCCTAATGACTCGAGATTTCGTTATCAACTCACGTATATATGACTTATGGTAATCTCTAAGAGAAAAGATTTAACCTTGAGCTCTCTCAGCAATGGTACATATAACTCTGTTTTGATTTAGTTACAACCAAATAACTCAATTTTCATATAAGAAATGATCGACCTAAACACTAAAAAATTTTCTTTCTGAAGAAAGAAAATATAACTTCCTACTGAACAACGTCTGTGTATCAAGTCAGTACATAACGTTGCTTTTGATACATATATCGGTTTAAACCTGTGTAAACAGCTTCATAAAGATGCCCAAAGATTTCATACCGGACTTGAAAGTTCTAAGCTTTCCAAAATGTTTGAGACGAAACGTTTTGGCGCGTTCGAATGTGAGGAAGAATATCTACCGTCATCAATTTGATTATCCGTAGGAGCAAGCAGGGTGATTTTATATTCTGTTGACCCAAAGCTGTTTGTAGCGTGGCACACATAATCCCCATAATCTCGTCCATCCCGTGGCGTGACAATGATACTGTTACTAAATAACTTCATGTTATCACCCATTGGAACCTGACCATCTTTCGTCCACGAGAAGTTCAACGGAATATAACTAGTTGCTTGACATGAGAGTAAACATGGAGTTTGCTTTTTACACATCACTGAAGAAGGGGAAAGCTCTTCGATAATTTTGGGTGGCACTGTGTGAAAAGGAAGAAAAATGTAGTGAGACCAATAATAATAATAATAATAATAATTTATTTCTTATATAGCGCTACTTACAATAACAGATCAATAGCGCTTTACAACTGATATCTCTAAATATTAAAATCTCATCTAATTAAAAAATAAATAGATAAACAAATAATAATTACATATTACAGTTAAATTGGCTATATAGGATTCATAATTTATCTACCATTAAAAGGTTTGCCTAAAAAGAAAAGTCTTAATTGAATTCTTAAAAATTTCTACAGATCGAATATTGCGTAGTTGCAATGGAAGCTCATTCCATAGATGCGGTGCAGCTGCCTGAAATGCACGTTTACCCAGGGTTGCCATCATTTTGCCTCTAGGTGGCTCTAATAAAATACCTGAGTTAGATCTAAGATTGTACAAGGACTTGCGTTTGATAACTAAAAGTTTGCTAATATATGCAGGTGCGAGACCATGGATGGCTTTAAAAGTTAATAATAGGATCTTAAAGTGTATACGCGCTAGTACTGGTAACTAGTGTAACTCATAGAGCACTGGAGTAATGTGAGAATACTTCCCGATATCCATAATTAGTCTGGCGGCAGCATTTTGCACGCGTTGCTCTTTGGGAAGGCCATACAATAAAGCATTACAGTAATCTAACCTACTCGTGACCAAAAAGAATTTTGACAAAATCATGCTCAAGTCAAAGGAGAAGAGTATACCAAAAATATGGGGACACTTCCGTGATGTACTTTTGTTTTGCACGTTTAGTGGTGGTTTGCTGTGTTGTTACTGATGCTTTTAATTTCAACCTTCAAATTCAACAAGAAGTCAATGACCTGTAAAAAGTGGCCCGAGCATTTTCCAGACCTGTTTCTATAGTGATCATCGCGGCGCTTAGTATAACCATAGTTGTTCAGTAACTTTGGTAGAGGTTGGCACATTCTCTAACTTATTGTTAAAACTAACTCACCGACTCTTCCACATATTTACTTCACAGAAGATATAATTATACAATTGTTAGGAAATGTTCAGTGTAACTGTAAATCAGTTTCTACGTACCAGCGATAATGACTATCGTAGCTGTACGGCTCTCCCCAAACATATTCACTGCTTTACATTCATAAACGCCACTGTCACCAGCAACAACATCTTTTATAATAAGTACTTTGCCGTTGTTCTCCAACTGAGCGCGAGGTATACTGGTAAGACCATCTTTGGTCCAGGTAACAGAAGCCTCAGGGTCTCCAGTAACAAGTCAACACGACAAGTTCGCCGACTGCTGTAATTGTTCTTTTAGACAGATCTTTGATGACAGGTCTACCTGAGTTTTGATAATCATGAAATAGTCAGGGCAAAGTATTCAATCTAAAAGTAACAATTATGCGGATAGTTTCTCAAGACATGAAAACTTCGTGTTTTTAGTTCTTTATGCATGGCAATAGAAGAACCTCGCAGTAGGACACAATAAGTTTTGACAAGACTATTTGATCTCTTCGAATACTCTAGACACATTTCTCACATCCTTAGTTTCCTGCGTCTCAAGGAAATAGGAATTATATGGAATCGGATGTTTCGATTCTGTGCACGTTCATCAGAGCGTGACTCGAATTAACTCTAGCAAAGACATGCCTCTTTGAAGTTCGCCGGGTCTCCTAACCTGTCCCCTCTACTAACTCTGATGGAACCCTCTTTCTTACCAGTCTCCTTTGTTTTCTTGGAAAGAGCTGTACTTTTTGGTCCATCCCCAACAGAAGTGAATGGCAATATTTGAAATTCATATTCTGTGTTCTCACGAAGCCCAGTGACCTCTTGAGTGCAAGTTGCCTGATTGTTAATGAGATGCATACTTGCTGGCCCTAAAGAGCCTTTCTTTTTGTAGAACAATTTAAATCCTTTGATCATTCCATTTCTGGAGTCTTCTGGGGGTAACTGCCAGGATCCTGATATACTGGAAGAAGTGGTTGCAGTCAAAGTAAAGCCACTAGGAGGCAGTGAAGGAACTGCAATTGAGAAGTTGCAATATAAAAAAATCATACTAATAATCATAACGACAAACAGAGTCATTATGATCGTCACCGTCGTATCATTATCAATTAGAAATCGCTTAGCAGCGACCAGTAAATGAATGCTATCACTCTTTTCATTTCTCTGTCTTTCGTACGAACAGTTATATAAACCCCCCAGGTATTTTTTCAAAGCCCCCAGTTCGTACGTTTTAATATCTTTGTCACAGTCGTTGATGGAAGCCCAAGAGTTCCAGAAGTTTAGCCATTCCTTTGTGCTTTGTTCGGTGTCTTCGTTCTTTACAATCTCCTTCAAACTTTAAATTAAAACGTTGCTACTTTCTCCTAACGTCTTCGTCGTTCGTGAAAATATGTTGAAAATATGCCCTATTCAAAGGTGTTCTTAAGGTAAACATCAGAAGTCGGATGATATTTTCCTTCCATTTGTAGGATGTCTCTTCCAATGAGGAACACATACTTGACTCAGAATATCTGTGTTGTTGCTGTTTTTTTTAGTTGTTTTTGTTTTTTCTTATCGTCAGTGACACTCACGAACAAATTCTAAAAAGGAATACAGCAGAAAGTGACATTGAAATTAGATGAAGGCTGTGGAGGAGCTTCAATTGGACAGTAGTGTTTAAATCAGTTTCAATATCTCTGAAAAAAAAATGTCTGAAAAACTTGACGTCACATCCTAACTTGCCACATGAATATGAATGCTGTTGCATTTTTGTACAGTAATCACTTGATTCCTAACCATCTACTTGTTTTCATTAGTCTTTTCATCGTATGTTTAGTATCTCATTGTGAGGAAACGTTTAATGACGATGGGAAAATTTCCAAAACATGGTTCACAGATCTTTTCATTATCTCTAGAATGTCACATACCATTTTCCATTGTTCTTTCCACCTCAACAGAACTTTTTGGTCCATCACCACCAGATGTGTAGGCCAACACTTGAAATTCATATTCTGTGTACTTATCAAGTCCAGTCACCAGTCTCCTTAATGTTGATCCATTGGTAATATTCAAGAAGGTAAAAGACCCTGCAGAGCACTTCTCTCTGTAAAAGAGTTTAAATCCATCAATCTTTCCGTGTCTAGCAAATACTGGTGGTAACTGCCAATAAGCTGTAATGCTGGTAGAGGAGCTTGCAGTCAAGTTGAAGGAAGCAGGATGTTGTGATGGAACTAAAACAAAAAAGGAAAAAAAAAATCAAGTGGCATTTGCTTGTTAATTGACTACATAAACTCCATTATTTTGGTCATCCCTAAGTTTGTAATTTTTGCTTGTCTGCTGTATAATTATAATTGCTGCATACTGAGGAGATATTTATCTCCGGAACTCTAAGCTTTCGGGTTTAATCGCGCAATTACACAACAAGGATACACGCGATAGCCAAGAGCATACTTGTAAGTCAGTTCAGGACGCACTGCATGAGCCATACAAAGCTATCTTCCTTTGTGAATGCAAAATTTTGTAATCTTTCTATAACGTCTTACTTTCACATATACAATAACAATGAGCACTGCTATAATTTTTCTGAACAACCGCCTTGTTAAAATTGAACTAATTTTTTAATATTATTCAATTCATCTCAATAGGGAAGGTCTCTCTGTGATTAGATCATGACATCATTTGCTCCATCTGCATAGTCGCTCACTACTGCATAGGTTCAGACAGTAGTGGTCACAAAATTTCGGGTTAAACTACGTTAATATCTGTAAGGTGTTGATTCCCAAATTTTGTTGTGTCCAGCTCCAAACTTTACTGAGTCAGTTAACTAAGATCAGTGACCATTGAGGGATACTTAGCTTTCCTTTGGCGATTAGGTTTACTAATAATTTTGTCTTTGTCGATCTTCAAGACAAAAAGTGGTCAAATGATTACCTTTAGTTAAAAGTATTCCATAGACCTCTACTCTAAGAATTTTCCAGACATGATATTGTGTTGGCACAAAGCGGATGTACTTTGCACTTGCAAAGCTATTAAGACCGTGTTTTACGGTTATGTCTTTGTTTTTATTTCCAGGAAAAACCTGTAGCTAGCAGCACAAAAAGAGAACTCATTGTTAGTAACATTTTATTTAAGATAATGCACCATTAACCACAATAATCAACAGTTTATCATGAACATTAAGGTTATAAGCTGATGATAGAGAATGATGCTATCTGAATTAAACTTGTTGGTTTTTCTGCACGGGTACACGCAAGTATGTAATTTATCCTGTTTGTAGTTCATCGTCGGGATAATAATCTACCTGTTTTTGAAATAAGTAAATTATAGAGTTAAGTAACTGGAAGAAGGAGGAAAGTTACTCTGGAAATGATTTTATTTCAAATCATTATGCGCCGAGAATTAAATATTTGGAGGAATATTGCGAGATTGTAAATGGTTCGTGTGTCACAGAGCTCCCTTCAAAAAGGTTACTCTACACATGAACTCATAGTGTGAAATAACTTGCACAACTACTTCAATCTATAACAGTACAGATTATCTCTTAGGAGCCTTCCTTGACAAGGTGAAAAAAGGAAAGACAGAGCAAATATGGACACCAGGTTCACTAATCAAAAAGAGCTTCATTCCTAAATCAGAATAATCCGCACCAGTTAAGCACATATAGATTAAATGGTCATAGCAAACACAGGTGTGCCCATACAAGAATGGATTGTTTACAAGTCAACAGACTATAACAATATTTTGTCTTCTTGAACAAAGACATTAATGGTTCATGGGAGTCAGTCTCCTTTACATCACGTTCCAAAATAGAGTTATCGAGGGCTGCAGGATGTAGAACTGTGAATTGCAGTTTTCACTTGTGCTTTGTAAGTTTTTAATAAATTAAAAGAGAAGACCTCGAAATTTTTTAAAAAGAAGAGCGTGAAGTCTTGTCTTGACTTGGAAAATGAAGTAACTGTACCAGATATAAATTTAGGAATTTATGTTCATGTCCTTTACATAGATTAACCTTGCCATCATTGTTTACTTTTTCCAGTAGGTGTCAAAAGTAGTAGTATTTAGTAATTAATGTCTCTTGAAATGTGTGCTCTATTCTTGAGCTGCTGTAGTGGATGCTGGATTTCCCTAAGTAGCCAGAGCACAGCTGGTACATGTATACTCATACAGCCGGTCAATTTTGAGGTGATCATCAGCCTTGGTCTTATCCATGGGTCCCATGCTCTTTTATTGGGGTAAAAAATTGAAGACTCAGGATTACTTGGAATTACTGACAACTGCTGGATACAGAGTGTAAACACCACATCCCAATTGTGCTTTTGAAGGTCAGCATTCGAAATTGATTAAGAAAGAAATTCTACATCAAGAATGAGGTACAAAAAAAGAAACATCCCCCCATGCACCCTACTCTTGATTAATAAAATTTTAGTGAGTGCATCAGATGCAGATTTAACCATTTAATACGACTGTACATAAACATCACAAAGACCAACCTTGTCATTATTGCTTTCTTTGTAGGTGTCAAAAGTGGTATCATTAAGAGATAAATGTATCCTGTAATGTGTTGTCCATTCTGGTGTATTCATTGTTGGATTTCCCAGAGTAGCCACAGCACAGACGATATACTCATACAGGAGGTCAATTTGTACGAAGTCGTCAGTATTGTTATTATCCTTGGGTGCCCTTGCCTTATTCTTATTCAGTCGACCATATTGAGCTCGATATCTATCATTAAATATTGAGGTGGCTGTGAAGCTGCTGTCTGGAATTTTACCACCGTCAGCCAAACCAATGGCCTTCATATCACAAGCTGCGATAACAACAATTACTACCCTTCATATATTTTGTATTTATATCTTCTGCAACATCTAAAGGATCCCACCTCAAGTTACCAGTAACCATCCCTATCATACATGCATTTGATGCAGTACATCAAGTGCTCTCAGGAGTACCCCAGGGAAGTATTCTGGGGCCACTGCTCTTCCTTTGGCATATTAAAGATTTACCAGATGTGTTACCTAGCTCTACTATGGCTTACCTTTTCGCAAATGACACCAAGCTTGCTCGCATTATCCACTCTGAGTCTGATATAACTAACTTTCGACAGGATATTGATAAAGTGCTAGAATGGTCTACTAACTGGCGCATAAAGTTTAATCTCAAGAAGTGCGAAGCTATACGTGTAACTCGAAAGAAATCTCCACTTCAAGGCTCCTATCATATTGGGAATCATGTCATTTCTCAGACCGATACGCAAAAAGATCTTGGTATTATTCTTAATACCGATCTAAAATGGAGTTCCCACATTTCTTCCATATCATCCAAAGCTAACAAATTGCTGGGTTTTCTCTACAGAACATGTGACCCTCGTTTTGGACCCACAGTCAAGCGTTCCTAGTACGTGAGCCTGGTGCGATCTTATCTGGGTTATGCCAGTGAGGTGTGGACTCCCTTATATATTGGTGGTCTTCGAACACTCGAAGCAGTTCAACGCAGAGCAACAAAGTATATTTAAGGGTATCCTGACGCCCTTATTCCCTACAAAGAAAGGCTTATTAAACTGAACCTATTGCCAGTGTCGTATTGGCATGAGATCATGGATCTAGTTTTTTTCTTAAAGGCCATTAATGGCATTATAACAGCGATATTACAGAGTTTATTCAGCCCAAAGTAATAGTTAGATCTACTCGTAATAGTTGTTCCTTAGATTATCAGCCTTTGAAATGTAGAACGTCTCTTTTTCAACGTAGCTATTTCAAAAGAACCGTTAAGTTATGGAATTCTTTGCCTTTGTCATTAAGAACTTTACCTTGTGTTATTTCTTTCAAAGGATCATTAATTAAACGTTACAAAAAAGCTCTTATCGAAACGTTCGATCAGGACAATGTTTTTACTTGAAAGTCCTTGTGTCCTAAATGCTTTGCCACCAGGAATTTAATTGGTTTCCGCCAGTGTTGCTTCTAATTACTTATAAACTATTATACTTACGTATATTTTATATATTTCAGGAATTTGCATATTTTATATAGATATTTTTAAGACATTAAATTAGTCTTATATCACCAATTTCTTTTTTTTTTTTTTTTTTTATATATTTTAGGATTTTGCATATTAATCAATAGTAATAATAATAATAATTTATTTCTTATAGAGCGCTATTTACAATGACAGATCAACAGCGCTTTACACTCAATGTATAAACCCACCCATCCCACCCCAGGGGTGGACATCCATCAAACAGTAATCTCGTGTGTGGGAAATTAACGTCTCCCACCCCCAACCCTGCGGGAGACGGGACCTCCATTTATTCGTCCCTATCCGAGAAGACTAGAATACCTAACCATTTCTTGATGTTATAGAAAGGTAGCAAATTCTTCTCAATTATTTTAAGACCTTGAGTGTTGGTCCGGCCCGGGCTTGAACCCTCGACCTCCCGCACAACAGTCCAGCGCACTATCCATTGGTCTAACTGGGCGTATACATATCCATATACATATCTATACATATGTATTTTTATATAGACATTTTTAAGACATATTAAATTAGTCTTGTATTACCAGTTTTTTTTTCTTTGGAATTTCACCTAGTTGGAGCTTGCTCTGTTGTGATTATTCCTCACTGACCTTTTCGCTTTTCGCTTTTCGTTTTACTATTGAGCTTATTTATCCTTCTTATTATTTTTTTTTTACTCAGTGGAAGTTTAATAAATAAATAAAGTAAATAACAATATACTTTCAAAGTGCGTGTTTCAGCACTTCACGATAAACTTACAATTAATTTTTTTCTCATTAACAGACCAAGGTGTATAATATTTAAGTTAAAAACTAAACTTTTACTGTTGAGATATCTCTAAAGCGATGATTCAATATGAATTTTTTTTGCTAGAAGAAGCAACTTTCAGAGTTTTAAATCCAATGTCTTCATGAAAAGCACATTACAACTACAGTGTTGGTCACTTTATTTGGTTTATTTTCTCCCATTATAATCCTTCTAGTCTTATTAGGACTTAAAGCTCAGCTTCTTTGAAGATTACGATTTTGTTATCTCAAGTCACGAGAGTATACAAATAAAACTAAGTAAACAGAAAAGAGATGTCAATAATTTAAATACCTGAAGTTATAATTTAATGACAGAAACATTTTGTCCAAACGTGTACCCCATTATATGTTTTGGCTAGAGACTCAAAATGATAATGAAAAGTTATAATCACCTGCCACAACACTGACAAAGACACGTCCCCAAGTTGAAAAATTTGACCACCAAAATAAGTCAAAGAAAAACCTTTACCCTTTTCCTTTCTTTCCCCTTTTGACCATTTTTCTAGTAATCATAGCATAATTTTTGGTTGATAAATGGCCCATTTGAAGAGGTTGAACTTTAATCTCCATAAGAATGCAAGTGTACATTATAAGTTCCACACTCACTTGACGTTTTTTCTACTCCAAACACCTCTGTTCTCATACACACCCCACCCTGGTGTGTTCTTGGCAGAAATCGCAGATATCTTGTTAACACTCCATAAACAACATGCTTCACTTCTGAGTTCCTTTCGTTATTTCCAACAAAAATCTGACAAAGAAATAAGCAGTCAAGTTATCTGACCATAAATTAATTTCTCCCACTTGTAGCTCGAGATAAGAACATGCATGGACGATCAACAATAAAAGTATTAAATACGTTTATGTCAATCAAGACTTTCTTATTGTTATAGCAGTAAAACATTTTGTGTCACTGACTAGACATTCTATGACAACATTTTTGTAATATAACTTTTTTCTTTCCAAGCAGTGCTCGTCATGTACCTTAATTTTTCCACCTTCCCTTTAGTCTTCCCAAGTTGTCCCAACTGCGAATAATTGCAGTGTGTAGTTTGTCACCCACTGATCTGCGTGACAATTCCCTTGAGCAGACACAGCACAGATGATCTGAAGTGTCTTTAGATCAATCTGCAGATATGGTTTAGTGTTACCTGTTCCTGCACACCATGATGATCCTGATGTGTAGCTCGCTCGACCATTCTTGGCTGGTGTGCTGCCATTTTGTACGGAAGAAGCAGTTATTTCATTGTCTAGGATCGCTCCATTTTGCATTCCAAGATAATACTCAACGCAACCTCCTACATATTGAAAAAATTGTCAAAAACATTAAAAAGAACTAGCGAATGCAGTCATTCATGGATACAATATCATGGAAAAAGTTAGAAAGTAAAGCTTTGAACATCAGCCTTTCAGGTCAAGGGTCACAGTGTTAACCACCATAAGAGAACCACAGAAGTTGTACTGTGTTGTAATTTGTAGTTATCAGACTGCCGTGGATTTCAGACCATAGTTGAAAAAAAAAATCAAGGGCAAAGGTAACATGCAGTTTTTTCATCCAACAGAGTGGAAAATTCAGTGCAAAATATATTTTGACTTTAAAAAATATGTTTGAAGCCCTGTGCAAAATTTGAAGAAGAGCTACTCGACTACTTTCCACTCCTATGTCACGTTTCGCCTCACAGTCGCTCAATAAATGTTTCCATTGTAATGCGATGATCTTTGTTTTAAAAAAACTCTTTCTTTCAAGTTTGGGACGACTAACATCACGATGTCTAAACCTAAGCGAGTAAGTGACTCATTTACATATCGGAGTTCACCTCAGAACTTGTTTCTACGCTTCGCATACTGCAAGTTGAATATGACGTGTACTACATAAGGACAAGAAAAACAGAACAAAAGGACAAGAAAAACGAAAATAGCACTGAAAATAACGATGACATCTCGCTGTCCAACTCCTACCAGGTACTTTTGCGACCAAATATTCTAGGTTTAATCTGGGTACTTTTGCGATCAAATATTCTAGAGGGTCCACAATAGGTTTGGCGGGATGTGGGATTTGGCTATTTTTCGTGGTGATATTCGGGATATGAGCTGAAAACAGAAGCGGGTTGCAGGAATTTTAACAACCAGCGGGAGCGGGATTTCCTATTTTTATGGGAATGGGATTCGGGAATCGTAAGGACAAAATAGCGGGATACGGGAATTTAGTTTTGTCTTGACTAAAGACCACTTTCATAAATGGCTGCTGGATTAATATTCTTTTGTTTAAATTTAAATTAGCCTTTCTGGCCTCGTTCTCCAGTACAAAATTCAAAAGAATACATTATCTCAAGCGAGGTCAGAAAGGCTAATTTAAATTTAAACGAAAGAATATTAATCCGGCAGCCATTTATGAAAGCGGTCAATAAATTCATTAGCGTTGACTGAAAAAAACAAATGGTTCTTAAGTGTGTATACCGCCTTTGTAGTCAAGCTATGAGTGTCAAAGGAAGTAAGGCCTGTCAAATTTTTCCCATTATCACTTTTTTGTGTTGTTCGTCTTTTCCGATTTTACTATTTTCGCCGTTTTCGTCACTCGGAAAGAGGTATCAAATCACTGAGGTTAGAAGTCACGTTCGTTAAGATGTCTAAGATCCTGCACTCATTCCTGTTTTGTTGACGGATTTGAAAACAAAGATCGACAGGATCCAACTCTTGTCATGAAGCTCACAAATCCAGATTTTACTAGCTATCTTAGAAGTCTAGACTTTGTTGGCCACACCATCATTCCCGAGATTGACCGTTTCACAGAGCACAACAAAGTGGGTATGTACCCAAACCCCATAAGCATCGCTACTGGTCCCTACGGAAGCCTGTTATTTCTCTCACTTAACACAGTCCCTGGTTCATCGAGTCTTTTTATGGCACAACTTCATAACCCCGTCCAAAAAAATGTTAAGCTTAAAGAAGATTTTCTCGCCAAAGAAGTCCACCACGTCAATGACATTGTATTCATGGTTGGGAAAGGAAGCCCCATTATTTTTTATGAGCTAGAACAAGGGGCCGTGCGTGTTAACTTAGGAAAACTGCGTTCACGAGAAGATGTAGTTCAGAAAGCCAGTGAGCTTGGACTGTCTACTGATGGAACCGTGGCAATATTAAAGAATCGAATCGCCACGCAAGTTAAGAAGATCGAGGCAGAATACCAAATGAAAGAGGGCTTCCTCCTACTGCTATCAATTTCTGGAATACCTCCGGCGAGGAATCACAGTTTGAGGCACTACACGTCGTAGATCCCTACATGATCTACGCAGCATGTAAAAGCAAGCAGCAAACTTTTGCCGTTACCTGCTCCAGCGTTGGACATGGGCTTCGAGGAGAGGCAGCAGCAGTTGTAGAGTACCAAAACGAATGGGGAAACGTCGGATCGATGGCCATCTTAAATAGTGACATTTATATTTCTAACCGTCAAAGCATCGAGAAAGTTTCATTATCAACATATTTAAGAACACGGATTATTTCTTCCGGTCCTGACTACTGTTCCTTGGCTCCCTCCACTGCGGTTTACAAAGATGGTTTGGTCTATTCAGAGCCGCAATCGCATCGCATCCTGCACTGGATCAGAAATGAGGAAAGAGTGAAGGTGTTTGCAGGTACCGGTGCAGAGGGCACCAGAGATGGCTTGGCTTCGCAGGCTGAATTCTACCATCCTGCTGGACTTTTGTGTGGAATGTAACCATGTCTTGTATATATGTGATGCCTAAACCAATTGTATCAAGGTATTCACCACTCTGCATGAAACTGCTGCATTTCTAGATGCAGTCAGAAAGATTGCAAGGCTTTCTCCGTCCACGAGAAGCATGCAAAGTACGAGCTTTGCAATCTACAAGATGCCGTTACACTGCTAAAAGAAACGTGGCAATATCTTCGCCGAAACGAGGCCTTGATTCGCGGTGAAATCCAGAGCTTGCCAAGATCCCTTAATGGACCACAGGGAAATGTGGCTGAGAAGAAAATAGTCTGTTTCATTGTTGCAGTCTGGCCTTCAGAGACTTATGACGTGCTAGCGCCAATGGGTTATACTTGGACCAACCTCCTGAGCTGCATGACATTAGATGTAGAGAACTGTCACTCTGCGGTCCATCAGAAATCACCTTTATGCACTGCCCTTGAATATGCCAGGAATTTCGGAAACGCTGTCAAGGAAAGTATAAAGAAGATAACAAACTGGGCGGCATTTTAGTATACCAACCCAAAGTCGTGGTATCCCGTTCCAGACCACGCAGCGGCACTCATTGAAATTTCATAAGCACCACAACTTCCACCTGGGGTAGTAAGTGCCCAAGACGCCCAGCTTATGAGGGAATGGGCACATACCTTTGGGGCTGCAGTTCGTTAAAGAACTGTCCGACAAGAAACGACCATGGCTAGGGCTGTAACGCTCCCCGACTTCTTGTACGAGAAAGACATTGTGCCAGGGGAAAGCGTTGACCTAACAGGAGATGTCGACCTTCCTGACGAATATGGTACAAGTAGCAGTGCGGAAGAAGAAGAAACTGAATACCAAGTAGGAGAAGGATCTGTAAGGGTCGCCACTTTGGATGGTGAAGCAAACTTCCTGCTTAGAAGGGTGTCCGCATTTGGTCGTGCTGTTAGATTTAACAGCAGTTTTATGTTTTCTTAGAAAAGACCAGTGTTTTTATATACAATTTCCATGTCCTAAACTCAATGTAAACAATTGACAGAATTGGCTTCATCGCCTGATGGAAACTAGCAGCAAAGCAGTCGAATCTTCTTAAGACAGACAGATAACATCAATCTATCTAATTCCAAGAATACTGGACTTAAATTATCGAGGTAAACATGCATGTACCGATGCGAGAACCCAAAAATAATTAAGCAAAACAGAAAAGAAAGTTATGGTCGCTAATTGTGATGTTGAGAACCTGGACCATCAAAACTGACAACTGATAGAAGGTAAGTCATAACGCCAATTTCAATGATTAAGCAAAACATGTCAAAAATCTCGTAAAAAAATGGGGCAGGATCGGGATCCGGGCGTAAAAAGGGGCGGGATGGCGGGATTGAGAAGGAAAAAAGGCGGGAAAGCGGGATTTGAGAACCCCTATTGTGGACCCTCATCAAACCTATCCCTCTAATCACTGAAATCTTTAAGAGTGGCCAAGTGTGTGAATTCTCACTGAAATTTCTCTAATTAGCGAGTTAAGTCTGATGTTTTAGAATTATTGAGGAATATTCCTACATTACAAACGACATGTCAAAATTCGCGTAGTCGAGGAGTGTCTAATAGGTCACTTATTGCGAGGTGTGACGGATGTGGAGTACACATCAACAGCTTTTTAGGGAAAACCTACGAAAAAACGTACTCCATTTAATCTTGAAATGGGAGGAAGGATGAGATGTGAAGTCATCCTTGTTGAGTGGAGATACTCAAGTCAGACACGCACTACGGAAAATGGGAGCCCAAAGCTCAGCGCGCTGCGAATTAATATTTGGTATATACTTCATGGAAGGCAACCACAAATGTTACATATCCCTCCGGGGGTAGTTTTGAAAACGAAGACCCCGAAAACGAATACCTAAGACTCCTTCGAAAACGAAGACCTCCTACCAAAACGAAAACCCATTACGAAAACGAAGACCCAGTAGGACAATCATTCACAGAAACCGGACGTGTGTAATCTTTTTCGATGTCTTGCGTGCGTTAACTCAAAATGCAAAATTATAAGACTTTTAGCCACAATAACAATAAAATAATAATAATAAATGCTTTATTTAAACTAAAAAAAAACCGATCAGCGAAATCAACATAGAAAACGCTGGTATAAACCGGTGATCAGTGCATATAAATACTTAGTCTATTAAAAAAAATACAATATAGATACAAGTTAAGATTAACTGAGAGAATCACCCCCCCAAAAAAAAAATCTTATATGCTACATTTGTGTTGTGCCTTATCTGATTCTAATAGAAGTTTAAAAGTTTTAATTTTAAAAATTCTCCGCGTTTCGCAAGCACGCAGTTCCTTGGGGAGGTCATTCCATTCCTTTGCAGCGGGATACTCGAATGTCGACTGGCCCATAGCTGTTTTGTATCGTGGGAGATGGAGTTCCTTACTATCTCTGAGGGCTTTACAACGAAGTTTTAATCTCAATACAAAATACCCTTGAAGTTTCCTGGGACAGTGATAATCATTTACTAGTTGGAGAGGAAGATAGCGGCGACTATTGAATAATGTTAACAGGCCAAGCCTCTCCCTCATTGACTGTGTGCACGTTAAGTGATTTACTCTTAAAAT